AGAGGAGCATTCTGGCGTGCCTAATTTTCGATTAATTATAGCGATGAAATCACATTCAAATTAACGCTTTGATGTCAATCTGTGGACACTGCAACTCACAACCTCACATTACTACTTAAATAATACGTAGAGGACGTGTGGCCAAGTCGGCAAGGCGGCAGTGGGTTTAGCTCTCACTGTCGTAACCTGTTTGACAGTTGGTCACAGTTTGCTGGGCGAGCCCTCTCTGGCTAGAGCCTAACGACCCGTCCCGTCTAGAAACCATCTAATGATAGCAGGGTTGGACCTCAAAAGACCAACGTTATACTTACCGTACATGATGACGACTGAAGTTATATAATTGCTTTTTTTTTTTTTAATTTTAATAGTATTCAACTTACGCGTCTATATTTACACCGTCGTACAATGGAGTTCAATGGCTTGAGTCTTTTATCCGTGTTTCTAGTTAGTTCTTTGAATGTCGTTTCGGGACACGAGTGTCTTAATCTTTCGCCTATGGACGGTTTCGAAATGGAAAAGGTAAGTTCAAGTAATGCATTTGATACTTGATAGGATATATTATAACCAAATAAAACAATTGAATACCAAATTTGGATAATCCTAAACCAAAACTATGATAGTTATCGGATATGAAATTAACTGTAATTTTAAATATAGCTATATTTATTTAATTTGGTACACATATGACTTGTATACTAGTACTAATCCATCATTTTTTCTATAGTTGTATGGATCATGGTACGCCATTAAAACGACGTCACCATGTATTCGATGAATACATGAATTTAGTAATTCATTTTAGAAGATTTGAAAAAAAAAATGAAATTTTAGTGAAATGACCCCCCGGCATTTGCGACCTGGATGTCTGGGTCCCAATAATTTGAAGGAACATAGTATTGTCATCCAGAATGAGTGTCTGGGTTAAATTACATCCTTCTATGATATCAGGAAGTGGGTTAAATTCATTTTGGAAGATTTGAAAATTACCCGTACAAACGTAAGTACGTGTTAGCGAGTTAAAGAAGAGCATGTAAAAATTGGCCGGTACCCAATAGCTTTAAGAGTAGAGACCGTAGAGTTAGTTTCGAATAATAGTAAGACTGATATCAAAAATTACATAACTCACGAGCCATGGACATATTGGTTAAAAAGCACCCTGATAACACAGGGAAATTCAGTAGATAATAGGTAATGCCCGTTTTCTTCACTAAATTAAATAGGAAGCCAATATTACTACCGACTACCCTACATATGCCGAATGTACTCAAGTATTGACATTTGGCATTTTTTGTAACTTCCAACTTCCTGGTGCTAATAAGGTATCCAAGAAAGAGACTAAGGGAATTTTTAAGCTTACCAAAATTTTTAGTTAAAAATCGAGTAATATTAAAGGGATCTTTAGTATTAAACTGTTATTATTTAACTAAATTAGATGTATTGCATACAATCATCGACCTATAATTAATTATGTGAATCATAAGACACATTTTCTAAATGATTAATAACATAATTTACCCAAATCTAAAGAACCAAATTTACTAATAAGTAATATTGTAGTCCCAATTACGTACAGCAACAATGGTGCATTGAGGGCGAAAGGTAGGTAAATATAAATAACTAATTATGTAAATTTGAGAAATATACTGAATATTGTATTTATGCATGATTAAAAAAATATATTAATATATAATAATTTATACAAAAAAATGTTTTTCTTTATTATAATAGTTATACTTTAATTATAACAAAGTATAATGTAAATACAATTTTTAAAAAATAAAGGAAGAAGTTGAAAAAAAAGTGCATTGGCCGCCCAGTTTTGAACCGGTATGTCGTGTGTCAGAACACCATTTTCGATCGAATGAACTACAGATTTAGCGCTCTCTTTGGTTCGGCTATCATACTACTCAATTTCTGGCTCCCATTTATGAGCGGCTAGCTCTAAACACGGCTTGGGCTTTCTATGTGTATTTAATCAATGGTTTAGTTAAAACAGTAATTGTTAAAAATAACTAACGTCTGATAATTAAAAACTTAAATACTAATCTAACTTTACCACATATAAATGTTTAAAAATAAATCAAACTGTAAACAACATTACCCAAAAATGTTTTGCCTTTATGTTAAATTTTTTATTTACAACAAATAATAATTGACAATAATATAATATGTTTGAACATACTTGAATATTAAAAAAACAAAGTTTGTTAAACTTTTAATGTCTCGGCATAGATACACATTATAGTCATTGTTTGTAATTTGTACTCGTTTTATTTGTACTAATTTAATTTATTTGTTTCGTGACTACGTGAACATATTACTGTTCAACATTTGTAATTACATATATTTTATAAATAAATGTATTATTCTATACGCTTGACAAAAAAAAAAATGCGTAATACGTAAAAAATGTACGTCGTAAAAAAAATTGTAATACAAAAATGTACTAGAAGCACGGCTTAGATGTTAAAAAATCAAATATAATAGTATTGGCCCCTTCTCGTGTAACTGTACTCGAGGAACATAAACAATTATGTATTACTTATTTCTAAAGTGGAGGTGCTAAGCTCACCCAAGCCGCTTCCGAATCACACATTTAGTAAAATAGGCAGTAGTAATAGGAAAAATACTTGGGCAGTAAAATAAGTAAAATATTTAAAAAAAAAAAAAAAACAAATAACAAGTTCCAATTAATCAATATGTTTCAGTTTGGCGATATGTTACGATAAACAGCTAACTGCTGCTAAGTCAGCTACTTAATTACAATACTTAAAACACTTTGTCTGCCTCTCGGTTGAGCGGCTACCGAGGAATTCAAGCTAAACGGTAAATAATTGAGGAGACCTAGTAAAAGTTTGACAAATAACGATCCGACCGGTTGGGAAATTACAACAAAAAGCCCTGTGCGGATTGAGTATCATAGTTTGGAAAACACTAGAATACTCTTGAAACATCTCCGTCTGCTGTTCAGAAATGTCGACTTTAACCTCATTAGGTTACTCATAGAATATATCTATGTAGTAAATCCATGATAATGTACTGATAGACTGGAAAGAAGCTAAACGGTGTTTGGTAAAATGAGTTCCTACAAAAAAGCTGTACACATATCTGAAATTCTTGTGCAGTAATTGTATTTGCTGAATTCGCTAAATATTATTACCAAATCATAATCTAACTATGACCATACAGGTTGTTTCGTTAAGGACAAGACAAAGGCTAATGGCCAATTAAGATATTGCAATTATTTTAAGACAAAATAAGCGTCTCGTCCTTAATGAATCATTCTGTATATCTTCTATAAAACAGTAATTTATATTTTTAAATATAAACACTTGATGGTGACAATAATGCACAAACGATACAAATATTTCATGCTGTGGTGGTTTTTTTTATAATTTAAAACTCGTTTCACTTTTTGTTGTACTTTATTTGCACAGCTTATGGTTATGAGGTAGCATACATTTATATTATTTTATTTTTGATACACTAATGCATAGATTCTCGTTTACTGCTAAATCTAAAATGAAATAATATTTTATTTATCTTATTATAATGTTCTAAGATATATTTTTCTTTAGTAGTAGTTTTAATATTTAATTTAAAAAAAACTATTAGGTTTGTATGCACCAAGACGCTACGTTTGTGGATATTATCATAAACGATTTAACAATTTCACTACACTCTATTATTTTATTTTATTTTTTTATTTTAATAATACAATACAGGCCAAATCCCAGTAAAATATGAAATGTGTACATTAGTTAATTACAGTAAATAGTAGAATGTATGCATAATAATAATAAATAGAAAATGATAAAAGTGTCGAAAATGGAATGCTCAACGGAAAATAAGCTCATTTTAAAGAGAAAAAGAAGAGTCAGTATTGGCAATGCGCATAAGACGGATGATATTATACACATATAACTTGAAATTGACATCGATAATAATTTAATTTCAATAAATCCGCTATATTTTATTTTTAGTTATCAAATGAACAGTATAAAATATAAATAATTACAAAAATGAATTAAGCATTCTCATATATTCTCCTATATGTATACAACAAGAGCCATGACTCAGATTTCACCAAGCGATAACTTTAGAACCACTGGACCATCTTTCCCCAGTTACATCCCTCTCGATTATATAACACATGTTTTGATTATGATAATAATATTCTACATAGATACACATGCGTTATGTGCTCCAGGCAGAATTATATTAGCAATTTTTCTAGAATTTTTCTACAAAAAAGTTGACACTAAAACATAAAAGCTAAAAGCTACTGCAGTATGTAAATCAATTGATGTTCAGTAATTAGGACTTTTTTTTTCTTGTTAATTATTTTATATCTACTGCCGCCAAGTTTTGTCGACTAAAGCAAAATAGTTGTAATCTTTCAAACATAATAGCCTTTTTTTTGTAGTTTCCACAATTGGTGTAATAATTAGACCCTTCGAAAAGCAACCCCCGACCGCATTGTGCCACAAGTTTCATGGGTAGACACTATTTTTTATTATTTTTTTTTTTTTTTGGCTTTTTCAAGGTGTGGCTATAGTGTAGATCAGACTAGTGACATCCACATAAGTAGCTTTTTTTTTCCGATGCATTTCAATATTAAAAATCTCTTTTTAAAAAAATGTTAATATGCGGTGAAAAAGTCTTTGTTAAATTGGTTTTTGCGAAACACTTCTTGCACTCTGACAGTGTATTCAAGGCGTTAGAGTTTGATTAATTGTTCACGTTATTTGATTTTTATAAAAAAATGTATAACCCGCTATAGACGACACACACACGTGTACGTCTTGAACAATTAGACACTATCGCTTATGCGTTATACGAATATAATTATTATTGGCGTGAGTTATGAATATTCTCACCGAGTCGCATATTACAAGCATCATATTATTTTTGTCATTATTATTAACGGCATATTTGTTTTTGCCGAATAATAAATTTTATTCTGAACAAATACAAATTTATATAAAGTGGGAAATCGAAATGACTAGTCGACGCAGTCGAGTGTTGTACACCAACTTATAAACTCGTTTAGATTGAAGAATTGTTGAATTCAAACCAGACATCATGAAAACCGCCGTTCAATTGGTTTTTGTTTCGAGTGCAGTACTGCTGTCAGTTTTTTTGGGTAACGCACATTTTTTTTTTTTTTGTCATTTTATTTACAAGTTCAACATTCGATTAAGGTACAACTTGTTTTCTTCGGATTTCACCGACGCGTTTTACCATTTATTTTACAGGTACTGTAACCGTTTGTGACGCCACTATCTATGCAAATGGCGATATCGTAGTTTTCCTCGACCAAGCAGGTAAATATTTTGTACATTTTAATATAATATATTGTATCAAGTGTACGTTTTATATTTTATTTGAAAAATATTTATTTATTTATTTTTAGGCGCACAAGCAGTGAAGTATGATGGTATACAATTTTGTTTTATTTTTACCATGTATTGTTAACTATATACATTTTTGTTAATGTACAATTAAAATTCTATTCTTGTCGACAGGATCGAATATTTTAGAAAATACAAGTATGTTTTTAAAAATTATTATACACAACACTTAGATCTTCGATAAAATACTAATTTACTTGGAAAAATAATTGGAATTGGAAAAATAATCTCTTATAAAATTAAAATGTGTACTTTGCCTAACTACTTAGTCGTCTGCAATGGCCGACAACCTGTCTTGTTCTTGTTAAACTAAGTCACTATCTATATTATTCTTGATTATAGTACTGCGTTCAACGTGTAACTTATAAGTATTATTTATTTACTACAAAATATATTATAAGTTTTTTAATTTCTTGCAGGCGGCACTATTGTTGGATGTTTACCAGTAACGTGAGTATTTACAAATTTAGGTTTATAAAATCTCAATTATTTTTTCTTCCATTACATTTCCAACTATTATTAGGGTAATTTTTTTCGACACTACTCGCCAGACTCTATCTAGGTATATTTCAAGAAACCTAATCCTACTAGTATAGTTGGGTGTTTCATTTGCAATAATTAAATAAGTGCTAACAAAGCCATTAATTCATTGAGTGCACTATTTTTATTAAATATTAATAGCGTAAGAATTCGGAAACTATAAATAATCAAAGACCTTAGGAATATTCTATTATAGTAATTAAGTAGGTATTTAGATATTATACAACAAACTTTTAATTAAATATAGTTAAAGACTTTTTTCCAATATTGTTTTATCTGATTTGTTTTTAAACAATATTTTTTTAACATCATATATAATAACTGTTTAACATAAACAGATGTAATTTTGATCAAGTCTAGTAACTGCCAAGAATTTTAACCTTACCACTAGGGTTGCTAAGACCAATTTTTTTTTCAAATATTCTCCAATTCCTATCTGAATAGTTGTTACCTTTATTATATCCATAAATCTAGTGGTAAATTGTGAGATATCTCGACCTTTTCGTTTAATCGATTACCGTCCATAAGCTGAATTTATTAGGCGTAGTTCCTTATACCTGACCCCATTTATTTCTAAGAAGGGGGAGGGGAGGCCTGCCAAAATTGTCGAAAATTCCCCATGAATTAAGGTGACCGAGGTGACCATTGTTTTTTTTAATGTAGTCATCAAAATGTTGTATAAGTATGTCGATCAATTGTGGTCGAGACAACCCACAAGTACCGTGCATTTCGACAATAGGTATTAAAAATGAATATAGATATGAACTATGAATCGCTTGTTTTCCAGGGACGCTCGTCACGAATTTTATGCAAACCTGGTCTTAGGAACCGAGAAAACTTATGGCCGTGACATCTCACATATATTGCTGGGCATTGTTAAAGATATCAACGAAAAAAAAAAAGCTAAAGAGGAAGAAAATAAAGTTGAGAGTTCGGGTGTATCGGAAAAAAAATAAAACTAACTGTCATTGTTATCTAAGTTTGAATAAAAGCAACCGGTAAAAAAAAAAAGTTCATGTGTATATTTTTAATAGCTTTTCATTTTTACAAAAGAAATGTTCTTATCTCGCCTGCTTACCCTTACCAACTCATAGTACTTTGAAAAACAAATATACATAAAAATTGACTTAGTGTTATATCCCAGTACCGAGTACGGCTGTCACAGCCTCTTTTTATTCAGTTTCGATTTTATTATAAGAAAATAGTAATTACATTTTGTATTTGGTGTATAATCAGGTACTTAAACTACATAACATACTTGGGAGTTATGTAATTTATTTATTATTCAAGTCACGCTGAAAAAAATGTCAAATAATAACGTTCTAATATTATTTTGTGGTATAATAAATAAACAAACTTGATAAAAAATGTACTAAATGTATATATATGTATGTAAAAACCAATTTTAATTGTAAATTTAATCAAATATATACGTAGCCATTTAAGTTTAAAAAGTCGACAAAGCTTTGGAAAATAATAAAAAAAGGTAATGTCATGTAATATGTCATAACATAACAAGACATTGTGCTGGTTATTCCCATAAAAGGGTCAACAATGATTTACCTTTATAAACTGAAGTTATGTTACTTTGTTCACGTTCAGATAATAATATACTCTATCAAATATAGAGGGTGTAAGTGGACTTTACAAGAATGATATGGAAAAATTAAGTAAATTGAACGACGGACAAACGTACAAGTGATGTAAATTAATATATTATAAAAATCACCAGTTAAATAACTTAAATTGAATTAACCTTCAATGTGAAATTTGGAAATAGAATGTTTATAATGAAAAACAACACCTAAGGACCTTTTTAATTGATTTACAACACTAGTTTATACAATGTACATTTAAATATGATATAAAGTAACCCCAATTAATTTTTACCTAATTAAAATAAGTAAATTGTAATGTAATCTGTAACAATCCACGTAGGTACAAAGTAAGACATTTAAGAAAAGTAAGAAACAAATTTACTAATAAGTAATATTGTAGTCCCAATATTACGTACATCAACAATGGTGACTTGTGGGCGAAAGGTAGGTAAATATAAATAACTAATTATGTTAATTTGAGAAATATAATTTAAATTGGTAATAATGTGCATACAAATTCACAAGAACTCATATATAGTATACTAAATATTGTATTTATGCATGATTAAAAAAATATATTAATATATAATAATTTATACAAAAACATTTTTTTCTTTATTTTAATAGTTATACTTTAATTATAATAAAGTATAATGTAAATACAATTTTTAAAAAATAAAGGAAAAAGTTGCAAAAAAAGTGTACTGGCCGCCCAGTTATGAACCGGTATGTCGTGTGTCAGAGTTTCAAAAAACAACTTGTTTTTTGAAACGTATTCTGTTTTGCAAACAAAACAAAAACACTAAATACATTTTTAAATGTGAGTTGTAAAATGTAATAACTATTTAAAACCAATACATCCAGGGACGAGAGGAAGGGTGATAATCACGCTGCGTCAAAATAAAAATTATAAGCTATCGAGGCACTTAAGAGGGCGTCGCACCGCCCATTTTTAAGGCGTAAAGTATAGACAATTTTTTACAAAATCTTAATTTAAAGGTTAAACTATGATATGTTATTATTGGCTCAATAACTAGGACTCTATTTTGGTAGTTAATTATTTTTTTAGACTATCAGAGCATCCTTGAAAGCGATTTAAAAATGCTTTTTCATCTCTACATGTTTAAGCAGACTGAAAATAACTCGCTTTTAATTTTGTAATGGTTGCTTTTACACTAAAACCAAAATTAAGCGAGTTATTTTCAGTTGGCGTAAACATGTTTTTTTTACCACTGAAAATCACCGGTGCGTAATAACCTAAACTAGAAGTTGTGAACACACGTTATAATTATGTGAAATGAAGCATCTAAAATCGTAATGCGTAATTGGTTCTATACTTTTCTGTTGAAATTTAATAAACCATTATGTGTTACATGTTGTAACTTTTTTTTTATATTACATAAAAAGTAAGTGTTAACTCAATGTCATGTCATTATTTTCTAAAACAACCTGAACTTAACCTACAATGACATAGTTTTTAATATATTTATACATAACATAATAAGATAAGATTTGTTCGAAGTAGAACCATATGTTTTTGTACAAAAAATATCCTACATGCATTAAGTTGAAAAAAATAAACATTAAAATATATGTCTTTCCTATGGCAATATGTAGGTCTACAAAATGTTATCTAAATGTTATGCTTCAGTAAAAAAATTGCCTATACAATGCGCATTAATAAATACTAGTGTAGAGGCCCCTCAACTATTGTTTTTAATTTCCATACAACAACTTATAAATAACTATGTATTAACAAATGTTCATTTTATTATGCTGTGTCTATTAGCATCCCACACATACGCATGATTTATATTTATTAACACATTTTGCCCGTCCCCACGTTGCCGGCGTTTCAATAATCATAATTCGTATAATAATAGTCACTGGAGTTACTACCGACGTAGGACCAGATCTGGCCAAGTGAACCATTGTCCACTGGCAGCCACGGCTTACGCTTAATAATGTAGTGAAAAGACACCACCGGAATAACTTTTCGACGCAAATCTAGATACCGAGCAACGCCACCCCGCCCCCCCCCCATTTTCACCAAAGTTCTTATTGTTTTGTAGTAGATAATTATTCATATACCAAAATATCTACATAGTTTTAATTATTAAAAAAATATTACTTATTTAATATTACTGGTATTTATCATAAACACAAGTCAAGTCACACATCTTAAATACTTTTTACCGTCGTGGTTAGGATTTGCTGTCCCGCCATCTTCGGTCGGCGTGCAAACGAAGACGTTTCCAACAACTGCGGCCACCGGGACCCAAACCGAGCTGGGAAACGGATTGGACGTCCCCATCCGCCAACGCGACGAGGCAGCGTGGGCCGCATAGGCCACGGCGGAGGAACTGCTACTACATCCCGCGGTCCAGGTGGCTCACGTACAACGGGCAACCAACAACGTTGCCGCCCGGAGACTCGGTATGCCCCCGGGAAAATCCAGCCAATCGGAACGCCGGGCAAATCCCAAAGCGAGAAGTTCAGGAGCTGGACGCCGTGGTCATCGGACCAGAAGCCCGAAAATCTCTCCAAAAGTTTGTATGTGATGCCTCCTAGTAGTGACACTGGTCGGTAGTTTGACACGCGGTCCCTCGTTTTCCATGTTTTAGAATAGCTATATTACTTTTGCCTTTTCGAGCAGCAATGAGAGATGTGACGATTCCATGCCATTTGCCGCCTTGACTTCATTTACTGAGAAAGCATAGTGCGGGCTAGTTCTTTTTTTCTCATTTTGGCAATTTCGTTTCACAGTCTCTTTGTGTATTTTATCTATTTTCGCCTTGGCAACGTCCATGCGTAGCCAGGCTACCACATTGTTAGAGTTTTGTTGTTATGGTACTATATTGGGCAGGCTTAGGAAATTCCGAACCGAGTTTCCTTACCAAGTCCCAGGCTTGTCGGCTAGAATGGGTAAAGTTTAGGTTGGCAGTGGTTTTGTGACATTTATTTTCATTCATGCTTTTATTTTTTGTGTGTATAAGTTTTCTTGATTTAAATTAAATACGTTTTTTTTTTACTGATTCTGTAAATAATGAACATTTGACTCACTTTTCTGTTCATATATAAACAACAATTTGTCCCACATTTCCTTTGCTCTCTCACAATTAACATAAAACACTGTTCGCAAAAGCTTGTCATTTTGGAGGAAAGAATATTCCTTTTACTACTAAGATTTACTGAACACTATATTTAGATTTAAATAGAAGTTCTGCATTGTCAATTTTTTTTAAACTGGGAATAAAACTATGTGTTAAATTTATCATTTTTTTTTTCAGTCAATTGTACTATCTTAAGTAAAGAATATCCTTCTCGAGCTTTGTACTAATTTGACTATTTTCCAAAAATTTGTAGCTTAAGAATTATGTTATTGTAGTTTTATACATCATTATAAAGGCAATAACTTCATGCTTTTCTACAGAGCAAATATTGTTACCTCTTGATTTTACTTGCTGCGATTTTTGTAGCAAAAGCTTTTACCTTTTATGTAATATAAAATAGCTGTAACTTATTTATTATTGTTTAGAATTTTTATAAACATAACACAAGTTATAAGTACAATTTATTTAACTCTGAACTCTACTTAGTTTATCGAGTAGTAGGTATTTTATATTATAAAAAAATTATTTCTGTAGTTTTGTTGAATTCAATTTATATTTTATCGCAAAATCTACAGATTCCTATCAATGTGAAATGTTATCAAGTACAAGTGATACATTTCTTTAAAATTGTTTTTTGTAATTTTGACACAAACGTTTTTAACAATATACCTAATTTTAAGCCTGTTAAATCAGGCTATGTTTGTCCCGCTCAACACTAAAAGTCAATTAAAAAAAAAGTAAATTTAACCATACGATCATATAACATAATATGATTATCCGATTCGTTATTAACTGGTTTTATGGTGATTCAATAAATATAATCAACACATGACCACAAGAAAATATTTGTTAAAGCAGTTAAAAAAGATTTTGTGATTATTAGTATTTATGTGATATGTCAACATTTGAACACACAATTCGTGTCTGGGCTTGTCACTATAATAATATCATATCTTCTAAAAAAATTTGAAACTTGTAGGTACATATTTTATTGACTTTTTAATCTGAGAATTATTTGCTGAACATGTTTACTGGTTGATAACCGGTTTTGCATAAACAATTTTTAAGTTATTACATTTTTTAATTTAGGACAGGAGGAAGAGTTAAGTGTTGAATTATATTCATGTTAATATCTAACGCACTCCACCTGTCGCCCTACATTTTTAACTAGAATGACTTTAATAATAATTACTTAAAACTGGTTATCGAGCATTCAAAATTGTCAGTTAAGTATTCTTAAATTAAATATGGTACATATTATGTTACCATTTAAATTTCAAAGCTTTAGGAAATACTAATGTAACTAACAAAGTAAAATATAATAAACTAAAATAAAAGTAGTGAAAATAAAAGTTTCTAAAAAATCAAATTCAAGAAAACGCTTTGATGCGAGCCTGTGAACAATGGACTCCACTTTGTTATTTTTTACTGTTCTTGGTTTTAAGTTCTCATCTTTTTTAATCTGGCTATTGGCCAGATTCACCACCTGTGTATTGTTTGGCAGACCATTTATATAGTAAAACTTGATTTTGAGTAATACCTTTTAAAGTTGAGCCTCTGCCATTTCAATGAGATATTTTGATGATTACCTAATTTGTATTATCCGCACTGGGTTTGAGTCTGTGTGATATTTTTTGTACAGTCTACTCTACCTATTCTGTAATAAAACATTACATTAGAGATAAATTATTATTATTAATTGGTGTATTTGTGTATATACATTGATACACACACGGTTATAAGCATCCTTTTAAAATATTTCTGTTATAAAATATTAAAGAGACTTACTCAAGTTTCAACTTTATTATTTAACATGTTTACAAGCTTCTAAAACGTTTAACCGATTTAGCTTCAAATACTATTTGCCAAAGTTAGATGATTTTTTTAGCAAACTTACAGCTATTACTAAAAATATATATTTAATTGATCCAAAACGGGTGTAATAAGAAGTATTACAATATTAGATAATTTACTTAATAAAAGTAACTCGTTATATATATAAAAATAACAATAAAAGTTAGAAATTATTGTTTTTTTTTTTTTAGTTGATATTGTTTTTTTATATTAATTTATTTTTACAAGGTGACATCACAAGGTCATAGATTAACATCACTTGTGTATAATTTATAAAAACAAACAATTGCAAACAAATTACATTTTAAACGTGTTTACTATACTTCAGTAAAATCAGACTTTTTAAAAATAAAAAAGTACAAAGATAATCTAATAAACAATTATAAATAAAGTAACTTTTTAACATTTTTATTATACTAGTTAATTCGGAATTGTTAAAAATTAAAAATAAGAAAGTGTATTGTCACTTATCGTAATACAAATTTAGAATATAAGTAATTTTCTGCGTAAATGTTTAGTAATTAGGGTTTTTTCATTATTAAACAATTTTGCTTTTCATCTTCGCTGTCAATTATTTGAACTTCCAAGTCGAATAAGCTCGCTTTACGCTTCACAAGTTTTATATCATCTGGATGTGCGATTGAAACTGTAAATATATCATCGACACCATTGTTGAATTCTTCCAAATGTTGGTTAAATATATCCCAAAATTCAGGTGGCAGCATCTGATTAAATTCTTTTTCAGTATTTACTCCGTGTTTCTTCAAAGTAAAAAATTCAATGTTTGTATTGAACTCTTTGTCCTTTTCTAGTTTCTGTAGTTCGTCTCTAATTTGTACATCGTTAGGTTTTATTTTTTGGGCGTGCAAAAGTTTCTCTTTAGCATCGGCAAAACTTTTAAGCAAACGTAAAGCTTTACCCCAAGTATAATGCAATTTGGCATTGTGTTTAGAATAACGATCGGCATATTGTCTTGCTTCTCTGGCCATACAGCACACTTTGCTAAATGCACATTGTTTTAAATAACATATACACAAGTTTGTGTACAACTTGCACAAGTATTTCATTACTTCTGTTTCTTCGGCTTCCGAATGGGTCGTTATAATGTGCAACAGTTCTTTAGCTTTGTTGTATTTAACAGTAGCTCTTTCGACATTTTTCAATTTGAACAGATCGTTTCCTTCCGTATGGTATTTCTTCGCCTTGTTCAAGACTTTATCATATCTGTTAGGATCTCGTGCGTCCTCATCGAATGCCAAACTTTGTTCTTGCGAATAATAGTTTACCAGATCGACCTCAAAATGAATGGTTGCGTTTGCCGGTATACGAGGTGGGCAGCCCAATTCTTTGTACGCCAAGTCCGGATGAATTAAAAATCTAGCGTGTTCACCCTTTCTCATTGTTTTAATGGCGATTTCCAATCCTGGCAGCAGCTCACCCGTGCTCAGTGTATAACGATGTGGTCGTTTACCGTGTAAATACGTCACATCAAATGGTTCGACAATATTCTCAAAGTGGGCGATATAATGAACCATCACGATACTGTCTTCTGGCACAATTTGACCGACTCCTAAAACAAAAACCATTATTGTACTAAAAATCACAAAATATACATCATACATAAGGTTAATTTTGTTTTGTATTAGTATGTTTGTTGAAATCAGAAAAGTTGGTGAGCAAGACATCCTACTATTATGAAGGATAATTTTATTTTTAATAACATGCATAGTGGCAGTAATGAAATCACTCTCGATAAAACGGTCTGATGCGAATCTGTACGAATGTTGAATATAAATGAGGGGTGAAATTTTTACATTTCGACACTAATAAACGAAAAACCTAACTTAACCAAATAGAAAAACATTTTTTTTAGATATCATAAATATCTTTAGATTTGCCACATGGAATTGGTTCAGCAATTTAGCAAATATTGTGGATCGACAAAAATAAAAATAAAAAAAAAAGGTAATAATAATATAATCAATGTACAAACAATCCGTTCTCAGCTGCGCATCGACGCTAAATTACCAAATCAAATACCCAAAATTGAACTGGTAAAATAATAACAAATTGAACTGAAGGTAAAAGAGTTGCAAAAATATTTTAAACAAATGGAGAATATAAAGATTTACATGACGGAAGGAAGGGACTACAATCTGTTTTGTTTATTGTTACTTCATAATGCCATAACACCTAACTAATTATAGCAGCATGTGTATAAAGATACTAATTGAAATAATTAGAAAAATAAAGTCTTTCGATCCAGTCTGCTAAGTAAAATATTTGGCGCCTTGGTTATTTGAAAAAAAAATAGGCCCACTTTGTTTTTTAAAAATTTAGCCTGGCTTTTTCCTCTTAAAAATAATTTGTTCAGATTTGTTTTTGTCAAGTAGTATGTAAAATTGTTTTACATAACGTTAACATTTTAAGCCAAGTACAAGTCTATTTTAGGAAAGCATCCAACTGTATTCATTTTAAATATCAGGTAGTGTCTGATCCTTTGTCTCGAGTCAATTAGTTTTTAGTATCCGGTCTGGCCTGGCTAAATTAATTTTAATGATCAAGTCCAGCTCGGAATGACATCGATACTAGCCCGGCCAAGGTCCAGTCTAACAATAAAAACTATTAGGACTGACCCAGCCTGAGAAACTATTTTGTGCACTAAACAAAAGCCGTTGTTTACTATCAATCTTAGGGGTTGCCCAAAATGTATACGTTTTATTGGAAAATTGACATTTTGTAGTTCAATAAAAACATGATTTATTTACAATACGAGTCTAATGATTATAAGTCAAACCCTATATTGATAGTGAAAGTGCAAAAAAATCCAAATGATTTTAATTATTGTTAATACAAATTGTATTTGGAAAACAATATTAAATTACACGGTTCTAAATGTATTTATTGTCTATATAATTTTTATATTTACAGTTATACATGTTTTTACCATCTACACAGCTTGGCGTCAATTAGATTTTTTAATTTACAGTTATAAGTCCCGGAGGACTAGTGAATTTTTTTAATTACAATAGTGGTTCTTTTTTTTTAAATAATATAAATTTCTTAAGTTATATAAATAGTTGTACCTTCTTCGGTTATTTCTTTCAAAACTTTACGGTCGCCCGTAATATCCGTCATTCTAGAAGCCAATTCTGCAAATGGTTCTATGTTTTTTCCTTCTTCGCCTAATAGACTGAAATTAAGGAATTCACTAACTTCTTTCTGATCATAAGACCTAAAAAAATTATCTTCAGGGTTATCCATATTTGGCTCAACACTAAAAGAATAATCTGTCCTCCCCTGGACAAGCTGTTCGGCTGCATTTTTTAAAGTATTCTCTATATCTGGAGGTAACATAAAATCAGCCATTTCACTTTCAACCTATAGAAAAAAAATTCTCAATCATTATAAATATTTGAATAATGCACTGAAAACATTTAGGTATCTTAATAATGACAATAATAATAAGGTTATAGCACTAATGTGAAACTAGCAATTCCGTTGTAGCAACCTTAAGATCATTATTATTATTATTATTATTAAAACTATAAGTTGCGATATGTTTATGGAATAAATAATTGTACATTTAAAACATTACGGTCAGCCAAGTTATACATAAAAATTATGTTTAAAGGATAAAAACGTACCTTGTAGTTTGTAGGTATCCTTTGAATGGAAAAATTAATAACTTTATACGACAGCAGGAGTCAGGACTTGAAAACAAAATTGAATTTCAATAGCATAAAAAGATGTATCAGAATCATAACAGCTCGAAAACGAAAAAACTAACAACCGTGAACCGATCGTCTACAGCGTCTATATGATAAGAGCACAGAATAAACAGAAGGGAAACCTAGACCGGGACTGATAAGTGTGCGACATTTTGTTTTTGCCATAACCTCATCTTCTAACCGCGTCTGGTAACTATGTTAATAACCGTATATGATAACTTCCTATACGGAAAAGCGCGGCAGCCTAAAAAAATTGCAATTAAACTCGGTACGTTTTTAATACTATTGTAAAAACATACTAAGTGAGATATTGAGTAGCCCACGATAAAAAAAATTCACCCTGTATATATATATGTATACATATTAGTTCTATTCAAATTAAAAGTTGTTTTTCTCGATGAAATTTAGTATTGCCTCGAGCGAAATTTTGTAGTGATTTTTTACCGAAAGTCTCATCAACAATCACTGTTTTCCACCGCTCTTTCATTAACAACCTATAACTTTTTTAATTATCTGATAAAGTGAGAGAGAGAGAAGCAACTTTATTTAAAAAATCAAGCGGGCTGCCTAAAACATAGGTTGCCGTATAAGACACAGCATACTAGATCAATACAATAGTACAAAACACAATTTTTCTTTTAACATTGATGGTAATAATAGTAACACAGGTAAACATAGATTCTTTAAGACAAAAATTAAAAAATGAGTATTAAGACCAATAATCCAATAAATGGACGATTGATTAATATTCAATAGATATAATTTGGAAATAATTTAAAAAGTGTAAAAATGAATAATGATTCTAATTCCAACTATCTATGTTTAAAACTAAAAAAAGTTACAAGTCTCTTGAAACGCAAGTGCGGTGATTATAATATAAAATTAATTTTATCATATTTGTAAATAAAGTTTTTATTTGTTTTCTTAATCATTTATTTAACACACATAATTAATATAAAAATAACCATGAAGATAAACGCTAATAATAACAAAACATTTTTATCAGTCTTGGTATTGTCTTAGTACATATAACATAATAATATAATAACTTATAATCAGACTTGTAAATTTAATACTTATATCACATTTTCAAATATTCCTAAGTGGTATTCTTGAACTTTAAAAATATCTCCGCCTCACTAGTGGAAAAACATTACATATTCCTTTACTGGCATTACTTATGAAATATCTTGCTTTTTTCCAATAAATAGTGAAAACTGCTCTATTTAATGCTTCATCTACACTTGAACTATAATTTAACGTACAAAGAAGTCTAGTCAATAATTCCTAAGCTCCACAAGGTAAAATACCACAGTTCCCAAATCCATTTTTTAATATAGGTAACAATGAATATTATATGTTATATTTTCATTTTTTAATTAATGAAGTGTTATAAAAATTACTGGTAATTCAATTTTTGTTTCATTTCTTATTTTTTTTAAATATACAATAATAATTTTAAGTGTAATTTAAATAAATTTACAGTTATTACATTTTATATTCTTTACTACTTAATTCAACTATATTTTCTGGTAAACTTGATTAGTTTAAACCGTTTTTCAGACCAATAATGTCTAAATGTTAATAATTGTTGTGAATACCCAATGTAATAAAATGTTTTTTGTATTATAATATGCGATTTTATAATTTGAAATATTTATTTCATTTCTATACAGACTAGCATTTGAGTGCTCCGAGGAGCTCTTTATACAACTTCACTTTTTTTTATCATTAAAATAATGGCAGATATGAAAGTCAAAACCAATATCATCTCAGCTAAGCATTTAGTATACATTAGTGCACTTTAAGAAGAATTTCTATACTATTATTATTTATCACATCTATTCTGCACCATATATCGGTGTATGTACCTATACTATATGAGTATAGGTATTCAATATTTTATAGTATAAAGATTTATCAATGGAAAATTTTAATAATTCTATCAATTTGGTTTTCAAAATTTAAGTACTAACAAACATGTAATATTACATAATTAATTAATATTTTTACATGCATTTAATTAACTTGATTCAGAGTAGTCGACTAAACATGACCAAACTCCAAAAAAATATATTGTATTAAATACGTATGCCATTTATTCATATTCAAGTGAAAATCAGTACATATTTTCTAATAAAAAAAAGATCTAATTATAATACACTTATTGTTTAACTAATTTACATACAATTACTAAATATAGGCATAAATTATTATAGTTATGTCAATTTTTTTTAAATTGTTTTTACACAGTTGGTCATAACTTGATAAAAATTTAAATTGATATTAATAACTGTTTAGATTCGTTCATTTTCTAATTATTACCTAATATATAAATAAATAAAAAATATTGATCTTATAAAATCGATATTAAATATACAAATTTAAAAAATGCACACATTATAGCGTTAATTAAAAAATGCAAGAAATGTGTTTTAACACTGTCTTAAAAAAAAAAAAAAAAAAAAATAGGTAAATAACTTCCATACATTGGAATGTAGCAAAACTCAAGTAATTATTATTTTTGTTAAAATGATAATTCTTTTTTTTCCTCGTCTCACATAATATTAGTTAAAATAAATATTACCTTTATTTTCTTAAATTCTTAGCTGCTTTTTAAATAAGTGTCATAATTTATCATTTGGTCATTAAGTATTACAATTTTTTTTTTTTTTTTTTGTAGCTAGTTAAATATTATGTACAATTTTTTTTTATATATTTTTCGAACATCTTTTAAGTACAGATTGTTAATTATAGAAAGCATAGTGTTACACAATATACATCCAAAACGATACAAATACGATAAAAAATAAATAATATTATAGTCACATTCATATGTCCAATTACTCCTTTTGACCGTTGTAAAATACAACGGTAGCAACTAAATTTGGCATTGATTTAGCTGTTTACATCTTTATTTAGAGACGGAGAAGATGAATCAACATAGTCATATTTTAGAGCCAAGATCCGTAAGTCCGATCGTTACTGTACGACTTCCTGTCATAACGATTATCACTGTAGCGATCAGAATAGCTACCACGGTCATAATCGTCCCGTCTACTATCATCATAATAACGGCTGAAGCGATCAGAATAGCTACCACGGTCATAATTGTCCCGTCCACCGTCATCATAATAACGGCCTCGGCTACTATAATGATCACGACTTCCCCTCATCCGGCCATTGTAATTACTACTGTCGTCACTGCTGCAACTTTGACGGTACTTTTGGATTTCATGTCTAGGTAGGGCAGCCGAAACCCAAAGTCGAATACCTTTTATAGTGGGATCTTGCTCGAGAGCTGCATAAGCATCGTCAAATTTGGTGAATGTCACAAAAGCTATACCTCTGTTAGGATATAAACGAATTCCTGCTACATCTCCAAATTTCTTAAAGTACTCTTTGAGATCTTTACGTGTAATATCTTGAGTAAGTTGCTTCACAAATAATATCTTGTCCCCAGTCCTAAGTGAAGTCTAAAAAATATGAAAAAAAACTTTGACTTACATATTATATTTATATGAAATGCTATCACTTATCGTTGACTGATAGTAAATGACAACAAATTCAAATCAAATTTATGTTAAGAAAATTAAGTTTTAATTTTATATCGAATCAATCATGTTTGCTCAACGTGCCATATACACCAACACCTTACCCACTAAGCCACTTGTCTTTCTCGAACAATGGATCAATAAATTCTTTAAATACTCGCAACAACTACAGCTAACTGTATTTAATATGTATGTACATTTTGAAACTGTTTTGTCTTTGAAACTGATGATTTAATTCAATTAAAAACTTAAAAACATAATATTATGATAACATTAATAATTGTGTCATGTACGACATACAAGATCAAACAGCTTGATAAGGTGAAACGGTGTATTTATGAGTTTAATTCAAACTCACAATGATATTTATGTACCCAATATAATATTCAATTACACAATATTACCTCTGTGGTAGAAATGTCTAAATCACAATGTCTTCCATTAATAACATGTGAATCCATTAAACACCGCACTTGTGACTCTTGTTCCTTGAAAAATATGATCCCAAACCCTCTTGATCGGCCATCAACAGATTTTAAAACCTATAGTTTAACATATTAACATTAGGAGCAATATACTTTATCGTAACTATTGTTATAAACCTGAAATACAAGCTACAAACAATATGATTTTAAGCAAACCAACAAATACTTGGTCGCAGTTTTGCATTCTCTAAGGTAAACTTTTTCTTAGTTTTTTGGTAAAAACTAACTTTTGCCCTGCGTAGTTCACCATAATTACTAAAGTAACTTTCTAAGTCCTCGTCAGTCGTTTTCCAAGGTAAACCGAGTACAAGTAATTGATGATACTTCCAAACTGTTGGCATCGCCTCAGACTTCTGTTCTTTGGGTGCTCGCTTAACATCACTTTCAAATTGTTCATTCAATTTTCTCTTCTGTCCATTATCTGAACACACATATCATTTTTTTTTTTTTGCATCATTTACACACACACACATAGACACACAACTATAATAATAACGTTAAAACGTACAATAATATTGGAAAAATAACGTTAATGCTACTTGTTACATAATTTTACAATCAAAAAATTCTAAGTTTTCCTACCGTTTCCTTTTTACTGAAAAACACATGCTTATCAAACTATGTTACCATCCAGCCTATCAGGACTATTCGCTAGTCGATAAACTATAATAGTAGAATAATAATACAAAAATGAATAAAAAAAAAAAAAATTGTTTACCACACACCACTGAAAGCGGCAAACAGGTAGGTCGCAGCGTGACCACAGGCGGGATTTTCAAAGGCGCATGCTTGTGTTTTATTCACTCAAGTCTATAGAGGATAAATAAACGTGTCGTGAAAACTGGCTTGGAAAAAATAGTACAAACAAAATATACCCTTTACTTATTCCAAATAGAATACTTGATAGTTTGTTTTCTGGTAGAACATTTACCTCGATTGAATGAACAAAAGTAAACAATCTCACCCCACCCTTCCTGACCGGGTGGATACAGTTTGTCGTTAGCTATACGCAAAGCTCGTGTCCTGCCATTATCC